CCCAGAAACTTTTTGCGATCTAGGCAAAGGAACTCTTTCCATTCTTTTAAACGACGCAGAGCAAATAATAAGAGAACTGTATTGGAAAAAGCTACCATAACTATCTCAATTTAAAACGCTTCAAGGATTGCATAGAAGAAACAAATAATAACCTAAGAATTATAACGGGATTACTAACCGGTCAACGTAGATTGAATAATCAACTAAAAAAATTAGGAATCCAATCCAACTCAGACTGCAGAAACTGTAAATAAGAGAGTGAAAGCGCATATCATGTAGTAGTGGAATGCCCGGCACTAAGACACAAGCGAAAGAAACACCTTGTTGGTTATTTCATGGAACGTAAGGATTCAATACTAGGAAAGGTAGCCCCTATACTGTCTTTCATTAAAGAAATCAGACTTTGAAAAACACTCTAATTCACCTAAGAGGTACAATAGACAATAGATTTTTTAGGTCGCAGTATCACTTTTTCATAATAATAATAATAACAATAAGTATTAATTCTGATATAAATATGAAACAAATAGTAATAACATGGCAAAGCTTATATTAATGACCTTTTTAAATTAATGATTCATTTATCGTTTTTTCTTTTTCAATTTTTGATATTAAATGTAATTTTCTTAAGAATTAGGATTATTCATCACGTACTTCAGTTCGAGTGATTTGCAAAAAGTCTTAATTTATTTTATTAATTTATATCCACTATCATATATATATTTATTTATTCAATATCAGAAAATTAAATCTTACCTATTATAGGAAATAATTTATTATTTTAAGTATACTATATTAGTTTTAGTAATTGACAGTTATTGTCAATGTTAAGAAATATGAAATAGATTTAATTATATTCAAATGTTTAAAGCTAAAAGTTCCAGCACATATTCAACTGATAATGAAAGATTTATAAACGGATTTATATTACAGCGAGCTTTTTATTCGTTGAGTTTTATTTTTATGGAAACATAAAATATTCAATAAATATGGTATAAGATGACAAACTAAAGTTTAACATATATAAGAACATTGTTATCTTTGGCTTTGTCGAAGTTTCCATACTCTTCACACTTTAATATCTTCCTATGTAACTGTTTTTGACCCAATATCAATAGCTTATAATGTATATACTTAAACCTGAAATTTTGTGATAAAATTTATTGAATTTAAATTATTAATTTTTAACACATAAAGGTGCTGAGTAAGATTTTATTCTATGACATACACCATATTTATGATATGACATTATCATAACGACATTATAATATGACTATCACATTATCTATGACATATATATATACTATACTATATGTATACAAGATTTATTTTAAAAACACGTACATTTTATAAACTATCTAAATTCTCATCTCATCATTGTGTTACAAACGTTATGAAAAATTTAATATACCCTTTTCACACTATTTATGTGAATGGTATTAAAAGTATCTATTGATATCTTTAGTTCTTAATTAAAGAATATGACGTCAAAATATTTTATTAAAAAAATTTTGTCAAGCAATTGTTTGTTATGTTTGCAAATTTTTGACTTATGAACCAGTTCTAATTTAATGGGCCCAAGAATCAATTCCAGTATAGTTAATAAACAAATTTTGAATATAAAATATACATTAAAAAATAGAATAAATTAGATAAAATGATATAATGAAACAAAGTTAATTTCTTAGCGCCAAAAAATTGCGAAATTTTAAAACAACTTATGTATATTATATATAAGTGATACATATATATTAATACACCTATGCGTATTTGAATGGAAGAAGAATAAGGAACACTCTTATGGTATATTAAATAATAGGACTGTTATATATCAAAAAACTTTGTATTTAATTAAAAAGAATTGTTACATTTAAATAAAAAGCGAAAAATAGATACTAAATAATTGGCTATTTCTATTATATTAGTAACAAGACTTGTATGTACCAATAATATTTTTTTTTCTTATCCTTTTTTGAGGTGAATTTTTTTCTTGTATCTATCAGATGAATTAAAAATTTGATAAGCAAGCCGTTTTAGATGTGAAATTGGTCATGTTGAATTACTCAGAAGATTTGCGTTGAATAAGCTTTTAAGCAGACTTTCTGAAAGCTCTAATAAATCACTTTTAACTCAACATAAGCTTTTTTTATTGACATTAGAGCTTTATACTGGGTGTTGTGTATAAATTTGTAAAAAATTATTCATAAATAATTTAATAAAAATATATTTAATGAAAATATAAAATGATATGAAATTTTTAGTCAGATATTTAATTAAATCTTCCTTTTTGTAATCTCAATAGATATTGGATACTATACAAAAATTCAATAATTGTGGTTATTAATTATATATTGTTATTAATTTCAAATAAAATCTTTAATTCTACATTTAATTAATTATTTTTAAATTCCAAAATTATAATTGTTAAACTTTTACATATTAATTTTTACATAAAAAAATTAAATAAAAATATAACACAATATAATTCAGGACTACACAATCCCGCTGGAGCTTTTCAAAGAAAACTTTGTTGTTTTAGTAAGTTCCTAACTGAACAGTAAACATTCTGCTGCTTAGTGAAGTCCACACTTTTGTAGTTAGTTACCGATTCATTAAAAAATTCACTTTCGACTATCATAGTTCAAAGGAGATGAAATCCCCTTTCCTGCAGTGATTACATTCTGTCATATTATAGATAACGATTTTATTGAGAGGGTAACGCGAACTAGGAAGTCTTTTTAGATAATCTATAGAAACCCTGTTCTCTAATTCAAACTTTATTTTTTAAGTAAATTGATACTGAGAGTTTTGAAACGGTGGTAAAAAAGTCCTGTTTAGAAATTTTAAATTTAATAACAGGGTTTATTTAAAAAGAAATAAAAAAGGAGATATGATTTTGTTGCATGAATGTAATTTTAAACTGTGTCGGCAAAAGCTTGTTATTTTTTGATTTTATATATTCAACGTTTTATCAAGATAGGGAAGAATAAGAATTTTTAACAATCTAAAATTAACTATAACATGAAAATAATTGGGTAATATTGGCACAGATAGTTCATCGATATCTAAATATATAACAACACGATTATATGTATATAAATATGAGCATAAGGCATTGCTTTGATCATCAAAATTTAGACATTAAAAATCAACTCTAATATCATGTTTCCACTGCAGTCAAAACTGTTAATGAAATTAAGATTTGATCGTTTCCATTGGTGATGGGTCAATATAAGCTGATTTATGCATGAGAAATAGCTTGTTTGATTATATTTTATATATTAAACATATGATACATAATATAAATTTACAAAATTTTATGAAATACCATATTTAGTTTTAAGGGTTGCATTCGACATTTTTCGCTTTAATTTAGTTAATTTATTTGTAATGAACTCATTAATATATAAACTCTTTGTATGATAAATTATTCTTATTAACGGCCTTAAAGAACAAAATTACCTAAATGAGATAAGTGGAAACGTGGTTTAAGTTAAATTACTTAATTATGGTTAAAATAATAATAATAAAAATTATATAGCCCATATGTTATTGTGCATTGTGTTTTATTTTAAACGATTTTGCAGTTTTATAATTTTTCATTAAGGGAGTCGATTATACTCTAAGGTTGAATATTGTAATACAGTGTTTTTTTTTGTTGGTATATTTATATCACATATACAAATTGCATAAGATATTTATTTGTTTTGAAGTAATATTTTTGATAACTCATATAACATGTTTATATCATCTCATTGCATACATAATATTTATCAAAAAATCTAACGTGCATACCTTAAGTACGTCACTGATTTTAAAAATTTCATATTGTGAAGAAATTATATTTATAAGATGACACACCTGTGCTCGTTGTACTTTTGGCAAATAAATCGCAAACTCAATCAAACCAGTTTAATTCAAGAAAATCTCTAACTAATTTAATTTCCTGTTCAAACAGTTGCAATGTGCTTAGATGAAAAAAAAATTCAAAATTGCATA